TAAGCTAAGCGCGTGCGCGAGTCAGGCGAGTTGCTTGTGAAACTTGCCGATTTGACTCTGCCTCGAGGCTGCGAATTTCTCCGCGCTGGCGATGCGAGCAAACAGATTAACGCGGACACACGCGCATCACGATAGCAGCGCCGGCTGCCAAGACAAGCGAGCACAGCGGGCGCATCGTACTTCAAGGAGCTTTCTTTCCACTTGCGACATCCTTTCCCTTTCACGACCATCGCTGGCCATCGACCTCGCACGCGCACACCAGACTATATCGATCTTATCTGCGCGCATCGATCGCTATCGGATGCAGTTCGACTAATTGGCATAATATACACCTCCGCTTCCAGGGCCAGTAATTCTCTTGCGTCAAAGATTGCAAAATCGGAAATACTTTCGTTCGTTGAGATGTAAGACTGAGGACTCTATTAAATGACTTTTTAAGCGGTACTTTTTTTCCTTCGTCTTTTACGTCTCGTATATTCAGTGCTTCCCAAATCAATTTGATCACTTATGTAATGTGCTCAATTACACGCTGAAGCTTTCACTGAAGCTTTATGTTGCCGCTGGTAATCATATATTATTGTCTTCTCACGGTAGAAAAAGTGGTCAAAGTGCACAAGAGACTAACATTTTTTTTAACCTATCGCGTTTCGTGATTAACAAAAAATACGCTTATCTGAAATTGATCGCTCAAAAATTTTTATCGGTCTTGTGATCGTAGAAACCGATCTCGATAAAGTTGCAAAAATTAAGAAAGATATACGAAGGTTCTTTGCATGTCTTTTGTATAGGACGTGTTACCAAACACTTTCGCGTGTGGTAACAACGTTCAGAATGTGTACAAAAAAATTTTTAAAATGACTTACATTCACATCCATGACAATAATAATATTTTTAAGTCTGTTTAAAAAACAAAAAACTTGCCTATTTTATACGGGAACTGGTTTCCCGCGTGAATTTTGTTTCAAGAACAAGTTCAACTATCAAGTTTTCACCTTGAAATTACTCCTATAGCTCAGTAGCAATTGCAGCGTGTACGCCGAGCAGCTGCGACTATACATAGCTCTAATCATCGGAGTGACATCGTTATACTGCATAGCGTGTTAATTTCCGGACTATGACGAAGGCGTTTAACGCGAAAAATGCGATGAGGACGAGGTATTAGAAATCGCCTTTCGTTTGAAAAGCAACGCCGCGATGGCCATTGTGATCTGTACGCCGATGTACGTTAAAAGGCTTTCAACGTCGACATCCATTCGACGTATGTGAGTACGTTACGGCACTTCCTTGTTGATTACCGACTTAAGATCAATGTTAAACACTTGAAACGTCAGTTTGCTAAAGAAGAGAAAAAAATTGACAGTGTTATTAACGTGTGTATTTTTACTTTGATTATATTATATTGGATGGTTATATAAAGCTTGTTCATGTTACAACTATTTTCTTATAAGATATTGATTTTCTTCTTGTATTACAGAACCTTATAGGTGTTCTTGAAAAGTGAGAGTTAGTGTATTTCAAAGTTGATCGTCAAAATTCGGAAAAATCACGTAAAAAAGTGGAATCAACCAGAGTTCATTCCGGTCAACTTTCCCATTTTCTGTTTCTCGTGAAACTCATAATGTTTTCTTTAAAATATAATTTATGAGACTACTACATGCTTCTCATGGCGCATTGATACCTAGTGTATCCCTGCAGCGTTTAAAACCTGACGATTATGATTTCACAAAATTTTATTTAATTTGCACAAGTTATTATATTTTTACGTAAAAATAAATCCGAGAAAAGATTTTGTGAGAACTTTCTTAACGTCTGCGATTAAAATTATTGGAATCACATAAAAGTCACGCATGCAAATAAATAAGTGAAAGTGAACTCGATGGATTTTATAAATTCTATTTAGATATTGAAAAAATGCGTGTATTTTTATGATAATGGAAATCTTTGAATTATAAAAAATAAATTTGTTTTGCATCAACTAATTGGTCTTGATATTGTATTCTTCGAAAATGTTCATATATATATATATATATATATATACGTATATAAAAATTTTCTTCAACAGTACAAGAAGAAATATCAACAATAAACCGCACATGAATTCATATAATTAATCCTCAAAACAAAAACAAAAAAGGATAGCGCACACCAATATTTCTCCCATATACTGAATGCAAATTGGTCAGTGTGAAAGCACATCTATGGTTACGTCAGGTACACGAGGTTTATAGCTCTCATTTGATGGATGATGCCTTCGGGAAATGTCTTGATTGCGTGTGTATGTATACGAATTGCCGCTTAAGCACACTATTCTCAGAGTAATAGCATTTATTCGATACAAATGATTAGTAATTGCACACGGAACTCCTAGTGAGTACACATCCACAAATCGACGTGGGAGACTAAAACAGATTACCAAACGGACTTTCGATTCTACGCGAATTTTTCGCCGTACGATAAATCAACTCTCTCTTTCCAGAAACCATGCTATCCATACAAGTACCTTTTTTCGATTTTACCAGATAATTCTTTTTGTCAGCATTCATTGCCGTGAAAAATACATTACCGTCATTTGGGATTTTCGAAAAAAATAGTTTACAAGGGTTGCCTGACCGTCTCGTAATTATAAGAAAATAAAATCAACTTAAGCTTGGAAAGTGCCTGGATAAAGATTCTACGCGTCGCCCACGCTAAAATAATAAAATCAACATAGATCAACTACATATCGCAAAATTCAAGTAAATACTTTTTATCGTAGCTCGAAGTCTTTGTTTCCGGGCGGTCCTCCGTGTAATACTCCTCTGGGCGAAAGTATCCGCAGTACGGCGAGTGAAAGTAAAAGCGTACGCACGCAAGAGAACAACCGGGTGACCGTAACATTCGCAATTTTGCAATGCGTGCCCGCGGGAACTCGCCTTCCTTGCAAAAATGTACTACACACTAGGGGCTATTGATCTCTCTCGGTCTTTTTTTCTCCCAATGGCTAGCGACTAATTGCTTGCAATGGAATAACTCGACGATTGTTTACGTTATTGTCATACTTACCTGTTTTCTTTTCTTGTATAAGGGAGAACGGATGTGCGTTTGTCACCTGCTCGTCAATCACGCATTTCCACAATGTGGGTGCTCAACGGTCATTGTAGAAAACCACACTGCACCGCTACACCGCATGTACCTTCACTCTTCGGTTCGTCATTGCGTACCGGAAAATGTCTTTTCAAAATCATGATTACGTTCACCATCGTCGAAAGGAATGACTCAGCTATTTTTTTGCAACCGTAATTTTACTTTTTTACTTTATTCAAGTTACATACGCATGATTCCAATTGACGGGATTCATTGTTCTACGTTGTTCTAATCCATATACCTTAGTTTTATTTCATCACACAACAAGATATAATATTATATTATTGCCAAAAAATGTATTTGATATTCTCTTAATAATATCTGATGGTTCTTACGTCTTAAGACTTAAAACTTTGATGAGTCTGACATATCTTGTTACTGTGGGATGATGAAGCGTTCATTTTCTAAATTTGCAAGTAATATCCCATTAGTTTAATGTCATCCATTCAGTTACTAAAAAATAACAATTAAGTATCTGAACGAATTACTAAACGTAACTTTATCGAAATAACCCAAGAGCAAAGATACGTTTCATTAACATTAATATGTTAAACGATGAACGAGAACCATTTAATCAATTAATTAATTCTTGAATTATGTATCAAGTACCATTACGAAAATTTTATTTATTAATGAAAATTGTATAATATTCATTCTTTTACTACTTACAAAGCATCATAATTCATAAATGCTTTTTTCCTCAGATTTTATAAATATCAAAATTGTTCGACAGAGATTCCGCATCGCGACCTATCTTATTCGATCTATTTTACAATTTTTACAAAATATCCGTTGTGCAGCGGAACTTGATTATTTTCGGAATTGTAACATCTTGCCAGACGTGAAAGTGAATGCGTTCATAAGCACTTTCATCCTTGAGGCTGCGTCACCGCCAACGATACTCCGGACACAACTTTCGATCATCGCACTTTTATTAGCTTGTTTTATGAAAATCAATGATCTGTGATACACGCAAGCACGAGAAATACACTAGACAGAAGGCATGGCAAGAGGTTTATACTACACCTAATAGCTACTATACCTGTGAAAATGTATGAAAGTGTAAATTTTGTTTTAGTATCGAAAGAAATTTGCCATTGAGTTATAAATTGATCTATGAAACAAAAGTTATCAGATGTATAGTAACATGGTAATTGTGGAGTATTTTCGGTTGCGAAAACAAATGATTAGATATTTCTAGACGTATCAAACGTTTTATGACTAAAATTTTCTCTAACATATATTTTTCTATATAGATTTTATATATATCCAACATTAAGTACGTACATTCAATACGTTTATTTATCTAAATGTATGTCCTCTGTAGAATTTCTCTTTACCTGACGGACATGGGAATAAATTATCATTAATCAAATGAAATTTTAAATTTTGCAAAATTTCCAATCTAAGTTTTTGCGTTATGATTATTTTACGTAATACGTATACCTAAGGTAAAAAAGAAATATTTTTAGTGAAACTTGAATGTTTCACCACTAATTTAAATAAATTATAAATAAAACTTGTTTACATAGTATGTATTACTAAACCAATTAGTAACTTGAACAATAATTATAAACTAATCGCACTTTAAAAATACACCATCCCTCACTTTAAAACCCTATAATATTTTTTGGTTGACTTTTGTTTGTTTTTACTGCACATATATATTCGCTCAAACTTAAGAACTTACTGTTATATACAGTAATATTTTGTGCGAGCAGCATCAAGTTGTCTGAGATGTCACACGTAACTTTCACTCTGGACGACATTGTAAAAATTATTTTAAAAATAAATAAGAATCAGTCAAACGTGATTATGCGTCATTCAAATGTTGACTCGAGAGTGATTAAATAAATATACGTTCATAATATTCGAAATCAATTGGAAACATAGAGATTTTTTGTGAGAGCAGTAGTTGCTATCGATGGATACTGCTGCAGCGGTGATGCGGCGATAGATCTATAATCGAAAGGTGGTTCGTCAATATCTTCTTTCACCTCATACCCCTTTCTACTGGTTGTGTTTATTGTACCCAAAATATCTGAACTTCTTGACACTTCCGCAACTCCCGATGATGACATAGGTTCGAATGATGATGCTGAAATCGAAAATATTCCAAATTATTACAATAAATATACGCGTCGAAACAGAATTTCATCATACATAATTGTTAACGTTCATAATTTGAAAACATACTTGCAGGAACATTATATATTAAGAAAATTACTCTTTTTACACTGACAACTCTGTAATTTTTACGGGTGAATTTTCTCCGTGTATCATCTTAAGAAATTTTAATAAAACTGTTTCTCACTTCTAAAAATATTTTAGTAAACAAAAAATATTTTGGTATATTTTGATCAATTTTTTATTTTTTATTCATTTATTAACGCCGTAAACTTCAAACCATAATAATCTGTGATTAAATAGTAAACTTTAAATTATGAACAGAAACAGTGATGTTTTATTCTCTGTTTTGTATTTTTTATTAAATTCGAAATTAATTTACTCATAAGTATTTAAGATTGATTTTGAATCATTTGTTGAAGTAAAATTAAATTCTTACCAGGGTAAAGAGAACTGGAACTGCTATAGGCACCAGGAAAAGCTGAAAGTTTTGGCCAGCTCTTAGTAAATTCAGAGATTTTCTTCTCATAATCATCCAACATAATGGTATCACGAATGACAAATTGGCCGGTGGTAGCACCGATGGTCGATGCAGATGGAACCTTCCCTATCGCGTTGCTGCCATCCTTCACTAAGTCGCCAGTGTGTGTCGCTTCTTGTTGATTGTTTGGTGGCGCTTTCACCACGATAGGACTCACTTTCGAAAGAAAAGGTGAGACATCAGACTGTGCATTTTTCACCGGGTCCAGTGGGTTGCCAATAAACGGGCGTTGCTGATGTTCGGTGAAGATTGATTGAGGACGTTCGATTGGTTGCAGTTTTGCAGGCAAATTTTTGTTGACGATGTAGGGATCGTTTGATATTGGTCGTAACGGATAAAAATTTGGTGGACCTGTTCCAGCGTAGATAGGTACCGCTTGGGGTCGCGGTCTATTCGCTTCTGCCGGGTAACGTTCAGGGTATCTGATAACAATCAATTTTTTTAGAATAATCAATAAGATTTTACCACATATATGTGCCATATATCAGTTATTTGGAGAAATTATTGTCATAACTAAATTCCAAGATATTATTTTTTTTTTTTATATTAATATTTTTCAATAGTAATGATTTCATTTTCGTATGAATTATTGATTTATAATATTTGCAATTTACCAGCATAATTGGATATATCTTGAGAAGTCTAAATATATTAATTATAAAATAATTATTGCAGAGAACCAATAACAAGTGCACGGTTGCTGATTTGTTTGCAACTTTGGGGAATCCATTTACACATAGAAATACATAAGAGTAAAAACAATTTTTCCATATTTATAGACTATTTTGTTAAATCTTGCAAGATTTTCAACAATCGTGTAATAGAAATAGCGGATAATCTAAGTAATGTTGAGTTTTAGTAATATTACACATAAAAGTTCTAATTCCATTTGATAAATTACGAATGCATTGAAAATTATTTGCAAATCTTTCATATTCGTATAAACTTTTAAAACTAAATATCACGATAAAACGATGTTGTTCTATTCAGCCAGTTATAATGGCTAACGCATTTTTGAAATTAAATTACTAATTGAATCACTATGACATACTTTATTTGTTATTAATCAAAGATACAATAAATTTCGAATATGTTAATGACTAATCTAATTTAAATAAATATAGTTTGTTTGAAATGAGGTTGGTTGACTCTCTAATGTTGTTAAGATAAAGAATATTTTATAAATAAACTTTCCAAATTAAATGCTTTAATTTGCAAATATTTTGGAGAAAATATAATATAATTTAGAAATGATATACAGTTATTTTTCTGTTAAAAATATAAAAAATCATAAAATATGAATGGGATTTTCATCCCTGATAATCAAAGCTTGAAATGTATTAATTATTATAAATAATTAGATCTCAAAAAAATGCACTGAAAATTCTTAGGATAAGTTATGTTTGGGATAAGCTATTATTTGAAGTCTTTTTAAGGGACTTTCTAAGTAAAATTATTGTTCTTTATATCTCACCTGTTTTGATTATTCAGTGGTACAAACCCTCCTTTATATTTCGAGTACGGTGGATAAAGCTTTGCAGAATATGGGTATGGATAGATAACTGGGCTTTTTCCATATGTAAGAGAGGCGTAGTTAGCGCCATTGTGGCTTGGCGCAATATCATTGAAACCGTGAGACTTTTGGTTACTCGTTGGTAAAGTTGCCCCAGCTTTGATTGGACCATAATGATTTAAAGGTGGTATGCTACGTTGCGGATAAGACGCTGACGCTGCCAGTTGGATAGTCCGTGATGGAACAGCTGGACTTCTTCTAATTTGCTTACTCGGTACAACCACTATGTATTTTTCCCTATAATTTACAATATTTTATACTCGAATGATAGCTATATTGATAGTTTTATTGCTTTTATAAAAACTTTATTTTATGCCATAGAAATAAATTGCTCGATCGATCTATTAACATCAGTATAACATACTTTGCTATGCTATTTCAGAGAAATTGCGTTTACTATCCTAATTTGACTCACCATTCTCATAAAACGAAAGCTAGAAAAAAATTTAGAAATAATTTAAGGTTTATTAGTCACACTGCTAATTTCAAATTAAACTTTCAATATAATTCGATACAATTTGTTCAAAAAATACTGCATAAAGTCGCGTGTTCTATTCATATTTGAGTTTTTCTCCTTTCAAGTTGGTTAAATATATTTAATAGCCTAATAAAGTGGCAACCGTATAACATACTATTGAAGTCGAGAAAACTCGCTTGGTACGTCCATTAAGTACTGATCGATCTATTAACATCAGTATAACATACTTTTCCTATGCTATTTTCCAGAAATTGAGTTCACTATCCTATTTATAGTAAATAATAATAAATTTATAGTAAATCATAATAAATTGCTCGATCGATCTATTAACATCAGTGTAACATACTTTGCTATGCTATTTCAGAGAAATTGCGTTTACTATCCTAATTTGACTCACCATTTTCATAAAACGAAAGCTCGAAAAACATTTAGAAATAATTTAAGGTTTATGCTAATTTCAAATTAAACTTTCAATATAATTCGATACAATTTGTTCAAAAAATACTGCATAAAGTCGCGTGTTCTATTCATATTTGAGTTTTTCTCCTTTCAAGTTGTTTAAATATATTTGCACGAGAAGTTTTTATTTATTATTTCATTAAAATTTGACAATAAATTACAACATACATTGATGAGCATCGCGATAGCCTAATAAAGTGGCAAGCGTATAACATACTACTGAAGTTGAGAAAACTCGCTTGGTACGTCCATTAAATTCTGATCGATCTATTAATATCGGTGTAACATGCTTTTCCTATGCTATTTCCCAGAAATTGAGTTCACTATCCTAATTTGACTCACCATTTTCATAAAACGAAAGCTAGAAAAACATTTAGAAATAATTTAAGGTTTATGCTAATTTCAAATTAAACTTTCAATATAATTCGATTCAATTTGTTCAAAAATTACTGCATAAAGTCGCATGTTCTATTCATATTTCAGTTTTTCTCCTTTCAAGTTGATTAAATATATTTGTACGAAAAGTTTTTACTTTTTATTATATTAAAATTTAAAAAAAATTAGAACATACATTGACAAGCATCGCGATAGCCTAATAAAGCAGCAAACGTATAAAATACTATTAAAGTCGAGAAAAGTCGCTTGGTATGTTCATTAAATACTGATTAGTGAATCCTCTAAACTCCTTGAAAACAATATTTTCTATATAATACTTTCATCAACTTTCATCAATTTTGATGATGATAGTTCTATTGCTTTCATTAATTTGTATTGCCACTCAGAACTATATATATACTCTTGAAATCACACCTCAATTTCTTGAAAACAGAAAGTGGTAAACGGTTTCTAAAATTGCTATACAGAACTCATTGTGAATTCAAGCGCCACATATGTAGTGAAAAGATCAGTTAAAATGTACAATTTTGTATGCTCTGATCGTAAAATAAAAACTTTTTTTTTAGGAATGAGGAGGTCACCGCTCTAATAAAGCACATTATAATTTTTATTGTTTTTCACCTTTCACTACTTTTATTCTAGAATTCATTATAAAAATCATATGTACCGTGTCAGTAAAAGTAATTCCAATGGAAATATGAACAAAGAAATTGTTAAAAACTTTCGAAACTTTGGCTTTTGTGATTTTTTCCTAATTAACTTAGTACGGTCGGCTTGGGCCATTCTAAATTATTTGTATTAGCACTATTCTTCGTGCAATTAAAACATAGTAATAATCCTATTGTTTATTAACAAATTAATTTATAGCTCTGTCCTTATTTGTATGTATACTTACGCATTCACTAAAAGTAGATTGTACGAGACAAAGAGAGTTGTAATAGTAATCTGCAAACAAGAAAATGACGAAATGCACTGTTTTGCTTTTGAAAGTATAGATATTAAAAAAATATTAACGATATATTTTATCAATCGTTGTTTTAAAATAATTGCACGTAAATGAATCATAATGACATGATAATAAATATAATTTATACACAAAAATAACAGTAGTATAATATTATATTATTTTTCAGATAATTTTTTAATTTAGATAAAGATTAATTTTTCATAGAAAGTAAATTTATTATCAACTTAAAAAAGTTATTTCAGTATTTTTAAATAGAAAATTTGGTTATGAATTACGAGAAATCGATAGACATTAATTATGTGACATTTATTACATATTTCCAATAATATTGTGGCTTTATCCAATATGCGTAACTTATAAATAATATAAAATTATTCATATTACGTAAAATATTTCAAATAATTCGGTGTAATATAAATTTTAGTAAAACTGAAAAAAAAAGTTATTTTTGAATATCAGTTGATAGTTATATTGATGCTCGAGTAATTAATTTTCATTGTTTCAAATTAAATATTTCAAATTATTTGATTAGTCATTATTGTCCTGGAGGATGTCTAATAAAATAAATAAAAAAGTGAAAGGAAATTCAATTTTCACGTGAATGTACTATTTAAAGTGAATTATAATTCAGGTATTGTAAGAGAAATTAATTTTTATGTATGTTCCATTTTTAGAATATGCACTTTTAAAAGAGCTTTAACAATTAAATTGGAATAAATTTATATAAATACGTGTAAATTTTATATAAACAATTTAAGTGTAATAAATTTATATGAATACGTCTTTTACTCACGTATAAAATAATCAATAACATTGAAGTTTCAATGGAAAAGGGCACATTTAGGAAGATGTAAAGTAGTAATAATAAATTGAATTAATGAAGATCGTCCATGAGTTCGAAAGAAAAACTGAACGAGACGTTTATTGAACATCAGTTGAAATATTGATTAATAAGCGGCGCTAGAGCACAAATCGAAGTGATCAATGATTAGGGAGAAATATGAGCAATCATCGCCGCAAGCACTAGATAGTCGTGAATTAGCGAGAGCGCAAGTACACTATAGAATTTGAAAACGGATGTAGATGTTTTCACTCACGAGCAGATTCATCCTGTTACGCCAGTAAATGGCCGGGTTTTCTCGATACAAACAGGCAGAGCACGCCGTTCGAAGCGCGTCCGACTAGGGAATATCACCTATCGAAACTGTCACACGTGCGCGCGTATATGTACGCGCCGCTTGCAGAGAGCTGTAGACTATTCAGCGCAAGAAATGCCAACACATTGCGCGAGTCGCCGACGGAGTGTTAGCTCTTTTATACAAAGGTGGGGTAAGTATAGCAAGCCTAGGTGAAGCGGACCCATAGAAAACGTAAATGCGAGCTGACGGAAAAGAAAATTGCTCAGAGTGAGAGAATCTCTAGACCCCACTCCGCACGCACACACCTGTTTGGTCTCTGCGCGCCCGACTAATCCTGACAATAGAGATTTTTTTCTATCCTTGGAGAAGAGGCTACCACAGTCCGTTCAAATGGCATGCGTGACCCAGTAGCGCCAGGCTGGAAGCCAGCTTTGCCAATTAATTGCCACTTTCTTTTCCTCGTCCTCTCCTCCAGCATGCACGCTGCCTACAAATTGCGATATCGAGAGCCTCTCTGCTCCTGCGAAGATTGAACATTCGCGGCTTGTTCCACATTAGTGAGAGCGTCTTGCCGTTGCTGTGGCTGCTGCTGCTGCAGGTTCTTCTCTTTCTCTTTCCGTCTCGCGTATAGATGGATATGCGATTTGTGTTTTTCATTAGGTCGCTTCTACTACTGCTGCAGCTGTTGCTATCTAGGTGTGCCAACTTTTTTGCCGACAGGTGAAACCATACGACATCGCGCCTTAATGCTTCTACTAATGAAAATATCTACGCGAATTTCAAGTTCATTATGTGAGATTGACCTATGCACGTGTCTTATTTCGGATTGTGTGCATTGAAATTAAACAAAAATTGCGAATATTGCAAAAATTGCTTAAATATGGATTATGAATTATTGAAAGTGGATCTTTACATTTTTCAGATAAATAACTACAAAAATGATATTTATTTAATCCAAATTTCAATACTAACAAGCATCTTTAATGACTGAAATAATTTCATAAATATTAATATAATATTTTTTATTTGCACTCTATAATACTCAAATGTAGATCTTTGCTCTCAAAATTGTCGTTTTACAAAGAGTCAGTGGGAGTACGTAACACTTTTAGAAATAAGATTGTTTTCTTTTATGAATACTCAAACTGGTTGGTGTGAAATCATATGGGTCAACAAATTTCTTCCCACGCGGCTTCATAAAGTATGTTATTAATTTTTACAAGAGAATAGATAAAGTTTAAAGGTAATTTAAATTTTTGTTTAATTTAATTTATTTATATTAAAATGTAAAGTATTAATAATTGTACATTATTTTACAGATATACTTACAGCGCTTTGTTCATCCATTAAACATTTCAAAGATTTAGTTTTATTGGGTGTAATTTTCATGTATTTTTAAAATTGACTATATGAAAATAATGTCAATGAAATGATTAAAAAATGTACTTCACTTCAACTTCTTTTGATCAAATGAAATCATATAAACGAATCATCAATCATAATAATCATTAATATATTGTTATTACATAATCATAACAAATTATTAGGTTTAAATTCATATCAGAATTGGTTTATACTCTAAAATATAGCATCTGGTATTGGTTTGTTTCTCTCCAGAGTGAAGATTTCACTTATTCTAGAAACACTTACCTGGAAATATATAGGCGTTTAACGTGTTTGAGATCGTTAACTCGCTACGATTTAAGCTTAGCGTTATGCTCCACAAAATGCACTCTTATTGCTGATTTCTCGATCTGGAATATAGTCATGGCGTGACTGCCAATACTCGATTGAGAAATATTTAGATTTTAAAAATTCGAACTTATAAATACTTAACCTTCGTAGTTGTACGGAAACAAGGTTGATGCCCTTTAACAAACATCTTTCAAATTATTGATGTTAAAATAATACTGTGAAATTAGCTATGAGTTTTTTCATAAAATTAATACAAAAGTGTAGCATTCAGTTCGATGAAAGTCACATTAACGTGATTAGAAAATATATATACTATAGTAACACTTATTTTCATGAAGAATTATTTTTTACCATCAACTAAAGCAATTGTTTGTTATTCCAAGTTTATTTCTTATTAATGTAATATCATTTAAATATTTTTATACTTTATACTCTACTGTAATATAAAAATTATACACAATGCGATAATTGTGTATCCTATAATACATTAATTTAGTTTATTTTTATTTGTTAGGCAAATAAATAATATAAATAGTATATAAATAGTAGTATGCAGTTTAATAAATTGAAAGTACATGAGTTTTTCATGTATAAAAAGTTATTTCGTTCAAATTCTAAATTGCTAAATTTCCAAGCATTATTGTACCTTGTAATGAATATATTATCATTGAATAATAATCGAAGTATGAAAAATGCTGTAGAGTAATCAAATAATAAATATGTAGTAATTTGCCTTAATTTGATTTATTTTGGTGTCTTAGCGTCGACCGAAGTATTAAATAATTCAGGGAAGTTTTTCTCGTTAAAACTGTTTCTGATATACTTACCATTTTAATTTGTTCGTTTTTAGCAATTCTATTTTTCATGTTAAAAAATATTATATTACTAAAATATATAATGTCATATTAATTTTAGTATTAAACAATGTGTGATTGGTTTACATTTCTTATATTAATTTCTGAATATTCTTATATATATTATTAAATGTAAATAATAGTAACAAAAGAACAGTTACTAATGTTTGAAACAAAATAAACGAGTATTCACGAAATATTCACAAATCTTTGGCGAATTTCTCACTAATTTCGTAAGTGCTTTTTTAATAATAATTGGAAACATCTACTTAGTACATTACCTGACTAGGACGGCAAAGTAGAATCTTCTCTCGTGCGGCATTTACGTCCGAGTAAACCGAGGGTAGAAAGTTACGAAACGAGAATTTCTAAATTTGAAATTTTGAAAATATAAAAAATTCTGAACGATATTCATTTACTTATAATTCTTAAAGTAAATATTATTCATAATGTTCAACAAATTAAGAGTGCGATAAAAAAATATTGAATATTTGCTCTAAAATTCTTTAGAAATTCTTGTACATGCTGTAAACTTGTGTAAATATAGCATATATGGAGTTAAAATACCGAGTTCTCAAGGAATATTCTTGCGCGCGTAATAACATCAAATAATTATGTGTATGTGCATGCGTATGACGTTTTGTCGTAATGCGCAACAGCATAATTTTAATGACACACACAAAATCGAAATCATGGCTATGGAAAGAGAGAGTATTTAAAAGAAGCAATGAACGTCGGGGCAAACGCTCGACGAGGAAAGCCTCGTGGTAATATTGAGATAAGCGAGTAGGAGTTTTACTCCCTGCAAACCTATTCATATTAAGATGCACACATCCACAGATGTATACTATTTCGCGGCTTATAAAGTTTTATTGGTAACAACGTCGGATTTTGTAGTTTTGAAAAATACTAGCAGCTACTGTGTTACGGTAAATTGTCAGTACAGTAGAGCACTATCTTCTATAAAACGATATGAGTAGATCTTTGTTTTCGTATTTTGTTTGTAAAGTATAAAACTTAATTTATGAATACTTGTCTTAAATCACATTCGAAAAAAAAAAAAAAAATTTTCATTAGTATATTCTAAACGCCTGACATATGAATTCTTATATATTTTTATTTGCTAAATCCGAATAATCTGTTCCCCAGTTGTTTGATGGCCTTATTATAATTTAGATTTTTATGTTTATGATAGTGGGAACTGATTTGTACATCATTTCACCGATAGAAAATGATCTTCCTTTCTCCAAGTTGGCGCACACACATACATTTCTTGCACGCAATCTCAACTGTAACTGGCGCACACCCTAAGCGCATACAAGACGAAAAAATGACTTTCTTTGGTGTTCTTGCGATGAAAATGGCGTACTTAAAAGTTCTGCAGTACTTGAAATCGTTCATTCGTAGTTTATGAACTGTAAATGTACAGAGATAAAAAAACGGTAGAAAAAAATATGGTTAGAAAAATATTAGAGTTCTCATAATGTTTATCAGGATGTTACAGTGAAAATGTTCATAGTATCATTATTTCTGCCTAACATGCCATAGCGTCTCACGTTGACGGCAGCTGTCATCGTAATTTTTTTGGGATTTTTCTATCTACCGCGTATCTGTACATTAATGATGTACCGATAAGATGAAATTCGTGACTTATATATTACAATATTTTTAGAATTAAGTATGATTTATTTGTTGGTGAAAATGTATTATATCATAAACTAAAATTACTTTGTTTACCAAGAGGCTTGCCACTCACTCAATGAAAAATTATATACATGCCTTAAAATTATATACATAAAAATTATATACATGGCTGCGTAAAAACTTGTCGTTTTTACGCAGCCGCTCCAAGGCAAAAGAAATGTTTCAATTGAGATTCTACGAGTGTTTTATGACCCGCAAACCCATACAAATTATTTCGGACCAGCCTATTACTGGAATGAGTATGCAGTCTAGTTCTCAATTGACAAGTGCAATTTCGAAGAAAAAAAGTCTGCACGAGCGCCTTTCTCCAACTCACAAAAGAATTATAATTTTTACGAATGCCAAAATATTGCTGACGTGCTTTCCTTTGTGCAGCTGCAATCGAGTCACTCAATTAAGTTTACTTTCCATTGCCGCTAATTGAGTAACGAGGTTCCTTTGGCTTTCCTATGCCGCTGCACTACGCGCGGTTAATCATCTGTGAAGCCAAACAATGCTAACCCAACCCACGTTCACGCTGTTCGTGATCTTGATCTTGAACGGCAGACTTGCCTTATCCTTCTCCGCTATTGATAAGTCTCAATGCACAATTGAATGAAAAGGTTCCTTGTTCAGTTGCTTTTCCAAACGAATGTTTCTTTTTTTTTGTAAATTGTTAGTCTTTTTATACTTTTACTTATGGAAGCAAATGGTTTTTTTAATCTCTATGGCGTATCATTAATCTACTATGAATTAGCATTAAAATTTTTCGCGAACTAAAATATTATTATTTACGATTGATAATAGCATATTTTAAATTGAAAAATCAAATATCTATTCAAATACATTTTTTAATTTAATTTCTTATTTGAAGGTGGTGGATGATCTATCAAACTGTTAATCAATTATTTACTTCTCACTTTATTTGGAAACCAATTACTTGACCGACTTGTAATAAATAGTCCATTATTCACACTTCCTGATTCATAATATTGACGTAGAACGTTATCGAAGAAAGTTTTAGAAAGCTCTAGTACATTAACATAGTTTAAAATAGTAGTATAAAGTTTAATAATATGCAATAATGTTTTAAAATGAGAAAAATACGAAAAGAGAACTTTAGGTTAGATAAACTACACTTTTTCAACATCAAACTAGTATCTTCATTTTTAAAAAAGCTAGTTTAAAAAATGGTTATGAATGGTTCCATTATCTGCGAGTTCAATAAACACAGCATTGTCCAGGTAAGTTTAATGCAAGAATAGAAAGGAAAAGTTCATGATCGAGTGATGTATGTGACAATATATCTGCAAGTAAAATGATATCTGAAAAAATTATAATACATAAAACTAAGAGTGGAACCTGAGTCAAAAAAAGGAAAAATTTACGGACGCGTCGTGAATGGTTAGCTTTTTCCCGTCACGCTTCCTTTCACAATCCAGTAATCAACCATACAACTGTGGAGTACACAGTGTTCACATACACACTCACTCATACTGGACACACTGCACGCCTACTACTTGTTATAACCCAAGCGTCCGCATATTAGGTATATAAGTGTAGCATTGGTCGCGCACTACGAACAGATCGTGACCGAGACTCAAGCAGTGTACACAGTGTAGTCAATTGTTCTATTCAAATACGTCTTCATTCGTTGCGTGTGAGATGATGTCGGAATTCTCGGTAAGAGCTTCTTTTGTATTTTATTATGCGCTTTTATATTTCTTACTGCATTTCATATTTACGATAATTTTACAAATTTAGTTTTTATCGCAATTAATAAAAATGTATACCTAATTAAGCATCAATTATGCGATTGTAATTGATCTTTTAATCTTAAGCTCATCATCCTCGTAGCCATATCAGTTTTATACAGCGTTTTTGCAGATGATGATGGACAGTAAGTATTACAAAGTAAACAAATTAGCATACGAAGAAAAAAATTTTCATAACTTATATGTCTTTAGTCATCACCATGTGATAATCCATGTGCCGTACAAAATTCATACCGTCCACCACATTAAGCATATTCACCATCAAAAAAAAGGTGCCGACGAAAAGTACGAAGTGCTCGGTTATACGATTGGAAAACCTATCGACTTAAGTCATCAATTGGGTGAGCAGCACTATGAATCACATTTGCCGCCTCCACCCCTACCACCACCAATACCGATACATCACCATCACCACGAATCCACGTCATATCACCACCATCCGGAAGAAACACATCATCACGAGTTCAGTGGTGGGAACGAACTTGGATATGGCCACGAATGGTCACCAAGCTTTGGACGTGAATTTAATGGGGGAGGTCCACTTTACGATAATCATGCAAATTTTGGTGGAGGCAACGAGTTCGCTGGTTTTAATGGATACGACTAGTTTATGTACGGAAAAAACATTCAATTATTCTTTGTTGATTTTTCGGATGTTTGTTGCTTGTTTCATTTATGTGAAAATTTGTTTATCATGTGCTGAATGTTACAATAAATTATTTTATCTATCAATAAAATTTTAACTAGCTTAATTTAATTCTAAAAACAAAGAATAAAGGTATACTCTATCAGAAACTTTGCCTTCGACAAACGCGATGTTTCACGTTACATTTATATATTGCGAAGCTATAATTTTCTAAAATACTGAAAGGATAATTTACGTAGTTCAAATCTTTTCGACGAAATGCCAGTGTAGAATGACTAGTGCGGAAAGGATCATCAAACAAGTTTCTCTATCGTTTTAAACTATTTCATTTTGGAAAAATCGACCAATTTTTCGTCACAAGTGAAATTCTTTGTGAAAGTTGATATCTACATCTACAGATTAGATGATATTTTGCTTTGTTTTATCGCTATTTCAAACACTTTCGCGAACGCTCAATTCGTTGACTCTCGCCGCCGCTTCATGGCTACATCAATTTTTGTATACTAGTCGTGTGCTGCAATTATTATTCATCATTGTACATCGTAATAACTACTTGAAGAATAAGACAATAATGCTATCAATAATGCTATATTTTTTGTTTAGTAGTAGTTTATTTCTTGAACTACACCTGTAACGTACATTATTCTTAACAAAAAATGAATCAAGTATAAAAATTATAAAGTCTCATTATTGAGAACTTATCATATGTTTGATTATGATATATATACAATTACACATAATATTCGTACTTCTAAAAACATTAACACTTTAAAGTTTAAAAACATTCAGTCGGTTACTAACAAAATTTGTTATACTTTTCTATTTCAAATTATTAATAGAAGATCTTTCTCGAATTCATATATTTATCTAAGTATCATCTTAGCAATAAAAAATCTTTTATCTATTCTCTTTTTTTTCGCTGATCTTTGCTCGGCATTCAACTCTTTATCATATTTTCCAAGATAGCTGTGTTTTTTATACTTATTATAACTGTCATCCTCACGACCGTTTTTGTTAAATTCTGAATGTTTTTTTTCCTTGTCGTAAAAGTCCGCAAGATCTTTATGGATTACGTGTCCGGTTTCACTATTCATTCCACGGCGATAACCATGCTCATAATATACGTTTTCCACATCATTTGGTTTGTCTTCCTCGATGTCTTCATGGATGGCATATTCTGAAACAGGAGGGACTCGTGGGTCCATGAGTTCTTCTGGGTCAATGGGCGGTGCAAAGTATCCAACAGGATTTCCTTGTGTTGGAGGTTCGTCAGTTAAAAGATTTTCTGGGAGTTCGTCAGAGTACGGAGGACCATAGGACTGATATCTGTCCTCTCTAATAGGCATGTAATCGTCGTAGGGCGCTGTCACGGTCTTTTGTTTGTCGTGGTGATATCCACCTGCTTGACTTTCTTCTACGCCGTTATTGTAGTTGTATGATTTGTACGACGTCCAGTCTTCAACGTGGTGCTCCTCTTTCTCGTGCTCAATGGGTTTCATTTCGTGTACATGAATATATACCGTTTTTGTATGAAAGTGATGCTTTACTATTTCTGGTACGTAAACTTTGAAGTGTACGCTAAAATGTTTTAAACGACATTAAATGAAAGTACGAAGCTTTACATCAGTCTCCGTGTTATACTTTTGATTTTCATATTTTCTATGAAGAATCAAGTTTTATTCATGAAAAATTTACCTTTTTTCATCTCCATCTCCACCAAACGATTCAACAATTAATGTTACGAAAGCTATCACAGTTATTTTCTGAAAATTATATTACAATTCAATAACGAACTTTTGATGACACAATTATAATCACTCAATGTATCAAACCGAACTAAAATTCTTTTTTGTTTTCAGTTCAATATATAAATTATAACAAATAAAATAAAGCATAGAAGACACTTTTCTTTTGCAAAATTATTATTCTTATTAAAAATTAATATTATTTGATTCATGACTTCCGCTTGTATTCAAATTATATTGCGAAATACATGAACAAAATTGGTATTACCATTGCGTATTATAATTACTCCAATATCATAGACAGCATATACTATTGTTAGTACACGCGACGACTTTTGCAGTAGATCTGTGGTGATAGTTAATGCCGTCGCGTCTTTTATCGACGATCGCACGAATGATTTTCGCCACTGTCACGGTTAATTGCTTTGCTCAACTTCGTCGAGCCTACGATGATAGGTACATAAGAAATGTAGCAAAAAGTTTGCAGAACGGTTGGTCACGGAAATTATATTCGACGTTCGAGAAAATCATTGACAAGCATTAAAGAAACAAATTGTCGGTCAATTTCACAGACAATTTGTTCTAGTAGTACATTTTATTATTTGAGAAAATAAAAAAAATTATCAGTCGGTCAAGGCCTGAAGAAAGTGAAATCAATGCTAGTGAAAGACAGAATTTTCCTAGAAAGCGAAATTGATATGAAACCATAGTTAGTACTAAAAGAATTAATTTTTCATCGCAAAAGTAGAATGGTCAATAAGAATCTACTTTCCCAAATCTGTTAGTACGTTATTTTTTTATACGATGTGTGGAAAATTCAGCTTTTAATCTCACATTCTAGGCTGAACGGTGTATGAAAGATGCATTTTCCATACGAAGTGTCCAAAAGTAACAGCGACTCCTCAGCAAATGTAAGAAACCACGTAATTAAAACAATAAGATGTTAAAGTTCTCAAAAGTGATGAAATTATCAAGAAAATCGAGATTATATTATTAAAGTAATATTTATTAATTAAAATATGAAAAACCTAGATGCATTAGTAAGGATATTCAGCTTAAATTTTGTCAAGAAGCAGTATACAAGGAAATAATTAGCAAAGTAATTAAACTATAATTATTTTCTGTGCTATACCTACTAAGCTACTAACAATTAATTTAACAGTGGTATAATGATGAAGATAATTGCTTATATTGTACATCTTTGACTGATTCTAATCATTATTAAGTATGCCTAAAGTTTTGTGTATAACTAAGTATGTAGTTATGAAGTACGTAATGATCACATAATTAGATTTGTACTAAATTTCATGTTTATATGATTCGCATCATATTTCACATGTAGATCATTGGCTCGTTATTCTTTGCATAATAGTATCGATTTATTTCATCCTAAAATGACACTCTGAACAAATTTGCCCAAGGTACATGTAATGGGTAACGTAGTTGTAGGTATGATATCGAAATAATTTATTAAACATTTTGAAATTCAGTATATTGAAGTTATAAAATCAGATACAAATCGAAAAGCATGCATGTGCACTATGCAGAAGTTTTCAATGAATTTTAAATGCTTTTGTTACCAAGTATCTCAATCTGGAGTCAAATTTCACTCAAACACCTTTCCGTTTTAATGACTTCCAGTCATGTCACAAACTTGCTAATAAACAAGCGTTGACAAATAGAACATTTCGATCCTAGCATGAGCAAATGATTTCAATCTTGTAATGATGTTTGCACCAAAGCAAAGCGAGGAAGAAACATCCACACAAGGGTTTTCCCTTCCCAATTGCAGTTATGACTGCTCTAATTTTTATTCAACGCGTCGTGGGGAAATTATGACTTCTCCGCGCTTGGCGAAAATTGTACACTCAGTTTTATACGTAGTTAACGTTCAGCAGAGGTTTTCATTATGTGCCTTTCCACCCGCGCTTCACTTGGGCATAAACCTCACACAAGACAAGAATCTACTTTCTCGCACTAGTTAGTTAATGTACTATTTCAATTGTACAAAGACCATTTGTCGAGGAAAAATAAAAAGACATGTACTTGTAAATAAATTTAGAAGGGGTGGTGCAAGAGTTACTGCTCATATCTTTAGCGTATAGCCATGTTAGCACACTTAGAAATTATTTAACAACTGAGACAATTAGCCTTTTAAATTTAAAATTTTTTTCAGGATATTTCGTAGTGAATACGTTCTTTAATTAAAATAGATGTTGATTGTAAACAATTTTTTGTTCATACTGAAAAATATTATTATAATTATAGAACTTGTTTCAAGCGTATTATTCGCATTTAAGAGATACTTTTACGTATTAGAATATGTTATAAACACTTATTATAGTATAATAAAATTATACAATGACATTTTTATAAAATTACTGTGATTTTGGTTGTTCTGATTCCACCTTAAACTTCAAGTCCAGTCATGATGTATGTGAACATTTTCTTACCATATTTGAAGCTGTGTTCGATCGTTAAAAGCAATACGGAAAAAATCAACTTTTAATGTTTCATTAACAGATTCGTTAACCTCTCAAGAAAACCTTATCATAAGTTGCTTTCTTTCCGTATTGTCTCCACTGATAGAACAGTTTCAACTAACAATAAGATACAACTATGGCCGTTAATAACAGCAATCACGAAATTTTCCGACCACATTCAATTAATAATTAATTTACTTCTATAGTTGAAATTTTAGTAATTTAATTAAATTTTAATAATTAAAATTTGTCAACACAAGTTTCATATTCGTGGAAGCCATTTTATTATTTCATTTTTATGTCGATAATTAGTTATTATGTTCTCAGATATTACATTGAATGTATATATAATAAATGAAGCCCAAAAATCATTCATTTAGATAATAACACATGAAATTTATTCATATTACAAAGTTGATTGTAATTTGTACACAAACAAACATTTACAAGTGTATGTATCAGTATATAAATAATTAATAATACATAATTTGTACATTTCAGGATCACGGATCATTGAAACTCTACGTCCACGAAATGGCAGTTCTATATTTTGCTGCTGTTTTTTTTTACCTATTCTCTATTGATGATTCTTCTTAGTAATAGCCACCATAACCATAATATTCATCGTCGTCTAATAGCGGTTCATGATTAAAATGTGCATGATCTTTTTTATGGTCGCCATGATGTTGATGTTTGATAATTTTGTAGATAGTGTGAGTGTGCTTATGACTTTTTATGTGATAAGGTACAAGAATAATCACTTTTTTTGATCTGAAATAATCAAGATTTTTGTGCAAGAAATTAGCGAGTAGAATAGTTTACAAACAATTATTAATAATTTGT